ATATAAATTAGCTAGTAACAAACATTTCTGCAAAATATGCTAAACATAGGCGTAACGGAGCTTGCTTATAATTACTGATATGTTGAAAATGTTTTAAATGGGTAAAGAAGAAAATTTTAGGGTGGCACCCACCATTGGGTGCCATTGTCCCACGCGACGGTCATAGTGGCACCCACCGGTGGGTGCCATTGTCGCCAAAGGGTTAAGTGGTTGTAAGCATTTCGTCAAGAACTCTGCAGCATGTGGAATCCAGAAGAGCACTGAACCCTTTTCTTCGCGTTTCAGTTGCGATGACCGTAGTGTTATGGGAAAAGCAGCCGATTCTCCCAAGGGGTGCTCAGGAACTCAACCTTCAAAAAACCTAATTTTTTGAAAGACACCGTTTGGCGTGTGTTAGAGGAACTCTGAGACCACTGTTCAACGGAAAATGAGTAGGACACATTAACACTTTGACGACAGCGCAGGACACATACAGTAGTGGCCAGAAATTTATGAACAAACGGTTTTTTCATGATTTCTCTTTTGAAAGTCACTGGAACGTCTCCAAATTTGCAACAATTATTAACTACGTGTTTTATGATCCACACAGAAAATTTCAACCTTCAGCTCAAATTTGGGTTTAGAAAATTTTAGATTTTTCGAAATTAATGAAGGCAGGTGAAAGATCACTTGATCCGTTTATTTGATTTAAATAATGTATAACCCAACAGAACAGTCAAGTAAACAGTCACTAACATTAAGCAAGTCTAGCACATTGCCCAGAACTCTCTAAAGTATTGGATACATAAACTGGATTTGAATGCGGGGTCAACTAATGAACTCACTCTCTAGTGGGGTCTCTCTCTCTGTAGTCCCGTCTTTTCGTGGCTCTTTCATTGACATACGAATTTGTAGGTCCTCCCCTTGTGGTTCTGTAATGTTGGCTTCAAGAGTCCGGCCTGGCTGGTCTTTTAAAAACACCACATGCTGTCGAAACGACTCCTGCCTGTAAAAGGCCCGATGCTTTGAGTCGCTGCTTTGCTGACAGACAAAGCCAGGTCGTGCGGCAGCCATGTCTACGGATACATGACACCT